TTTTTCTCATTAGTTTGTATAAATCATGAATCGCCCCCTCTAATTGTCTGTCTTTTGTCTTAGATCGTAGTTTGGCACTATTTTAAGTTTAGCTGTAATTAACCTGTCAGATAACATGTACATACTCTCTTCTCTATTATATGAATGCCAATTAAAAGTTTGAACACATCCTACTTATACTTTAGTATTGTCAGTTTTTTTTGTAATTAAGACATATGTAAACACAAATTACATATCCATAACTCATTTCAAACATTTAAACGTGCACTTTATGCTTTTATGTCTTCTGTGCTTACCTACCCACTCATCTCAGTCAGTATATCACAGCAATCTGCTACATTAGCAACTGATGCCTATTAAACCTCTGCTATATTTCTGTCTATTGTTTTTGAATCCTCAAATAAAGGTCAGGGATGACTGGGGGGCACGATTGCTATGTTTCTATCATAAAGTTGTTGTTTTTTTTCTTCTCTCATTCCCACTTTCCTCCCGTACAACCAATTCCTCCCATGCCACTGCTCTCCCCTTTCCATCACTGCCCCCAGCTTCACAATTTCCGCACTTCCTCAATGCAGTTGGCTGGCTTATTGTGTCCCCTGTGCTTTTCATCAGCGCAGACCAGTTCAGTAATCATTTCTCAAGCGGAGTCGGGCCCAGAGCAGCAGCGTGGAGGTGACAGGGCCTTGTGTCTTGACTTGAGTTATCGTCGCTAGTGACTCTCAATTCTGCCCACGCCTGCAGAGGCAAAGTATTGCGGCTCAGGGTGTATGTCAGAAGTACATGCGGCTTCAACAAGACACTCGTCGTGTTATTTGTTTGCATTGCTTGTCAAGATGTCGGTCACAGTTTGAATATTAACCCTCTGGAGTTTGAGGTGATTTGGGATGTTTAAATATGCTCTGATATCTGTGCTTATTTCTTCTACTTATACGCTTGACTATCATGTCATTTTGTTTTGTTCAGCACAAACTGGGCTAGAATGATATGCAACAAAGAAGGATGTACAGTTGAAGTCTAATTTATTAGCCTCCTGCCTATTTTTCCCCCAGTTTCTATTTTAATGGAAATATTTTTTTCCATACATTTCTAAACCTGATTTATTTTATCTTTGCTATGATGACATGATATTTTTTCTCCATTTTTCTCCATTTGCTAGTATTCAGCTTAAAGTGAAATTAAAAGGCTTAACTAAGTTAATGAGTCATTGTATAACAATGGTTTGTAGACAATTGAAAAAAATAGCTTAAGCTGGCTAGTAATAATGAGCATTAGGTCTAAAAAATAAAAACAAAACCTCTCAAATCTAAAAACTGCTTTGATTCTAGCCAAAATAAAACAAATACGACTTTCTCTAGAATAAAAATATAAGAAATACTGTGAAAATTTCTTTGCTCTGCTAAAACATCATTTGTTTGTTAAAAGAAAAAAATTGACATAAGGGCTAATCATTGTGACCTCAACCGTATATGCTTGCATTTAAATGTTAGATGCTAAAATGCTAGTTTGTTAGCAGAGTTGGGTGCTAAATACATTTTTGGAAAACACAGTAATGTAACGAATTACATTTTAAATTTGTGTTATTTGATTACAGTTCCCAAAGTCAGTGTAATTGCGTTACTTACATTATAAATATAGTTTTTTAAGAAAAACAAAATCTTTTAAGTCACGTTTTTTACTGCAACGTCAGTCAATAAGCATGCTCTTGAATAGAAAGCATTCTACGACAACATTCGTCACCAAGGAGGACACCGGTGCCCAAAAACACTGCGGCCCAACTCAGCCTAATCAGGCTAAATTGGATTTTTGTGCTGGATCGGGAGTAAAGGTATCTTCTGAATGTGAAGAGAAGCGTAGTTGCTTGGGGCAGTTTACAAATCTCATCTTTTGCGCGCATATTGGGAGTGCATATTGCATGCGCATGCATTTCCTAGTCGCACCAGTTGAAAACTGCAAGTCACGCGATAAGAACTGACCAATCTGCGTTATTCTTTGTAAGGAATATGCACAATTCGGTAGACTAATTATCTCAGACAAATACAAAACACAAACACATCAGTGCTTTTGCCAACTATGGAGGTATCCCGTTTTCTTCATGTGTTAAAAAAAAAAAAAGAAAGACAAGATTAGAAAAAGTTGATGATGAGAGAATTTAAAGTTTTGGGTGAACTCTTAAAGAGCCCATATTATACATGAAATAGGGTCATATCTTGGTTGTAAGGGTCTCCAACAACAGTCTAATATGCATGCAAGGTCAAAAAACACTTTCATGGTCTTATAATCTGCATTTATTTTTACCTAATTATCCCAGCGACTCCTGTATGAATCGTCCAGTGATTCATTTGTTCCCAAACCCCTCCTTAGCGCTAAGCTAATCTGCGCTGATTGGACCGATGACAGTCTGTCGCGATTGGTCGACTGCCTTCAGTCAGAGAGGGAAATGGCCAATAGCTAATCAGCAATTTAAAAAGTAATCACAGTTCATACACGCTAGATAGTGTAGGCGTGGATTTTAGCTGCCACACACACACAAACACACACACACACCTCCGGACGAGAACGCTCCCGCTTCCGCCCGCACCCGCCAGGTTTTAGCCTTAGAACCCGCCCCGTATTCTGCCCGCCGCGCCCGATCCCGCTAAAGAGCACATCTTTCTCTTTCTCAGGCAGCCCGCTCCCGTCCCAAATCAAACCCGTTACCGACCGCTCCGGCGATTTATTCGGAAATTTATTCCCGCGCCGCAGAAATCTGGCGCGGGGACAGCCGCGGGTATGCACACCTCTAACGTTACCACGGAGCTCCATAAACAAAGCAGCACGCGTCGCGTTTTTAACGTGACTTTGCACGGGATAAGAGAATATAGCCAGTTAACCTGATACAGTACACTCGGTTACAAGTAACAAATCACAACTAAATACATTTGCAAGCTAGAGTCAACGAGGCAACAACTTTAACCGCACGTACTTACACTTGAGAAATGAAAGAAACCCATCCTGATGTCCATCAGTAAGTTACTGATCCTTCCTTTAACAAACGCAGATGAAGTATTCTTTGTAGCATGTAGCTTCCAGAAGTTTCCAGTAGTTTCCAACTGCTTGGCTATAATGCTGAGGTTTCATCTTTGGGTAGAGACTCAATATATCCATCTGCAATGTGACTTCAATCGACCGGCATGTTTGTGTGCGTGTGTTTGTGGGTGTGTGTGTGTGTGTGTGTGTGTGTCTGGGTTACTGCGTCAGAGGACGGGGCCTCAGGTTTGAAATCTCCCGGGTTTGCGCGTGCACGTGAAAAACTTTGTTTCGTTCGTACGTCATGGCGAAACACCTAATGAGTCGGTATCAAGGCGACTCGTTTGAAGCACTATGAATCGACTCTTTTATAGATGAATCAACAGTTTTAAACACTGTATTCTTACAGATTTAAGCCTTAGCTGGATACTTCACTTCACTTAGAACTGTGTTACACACTACATGGAGGGGAATTTTCAAAAACCCATAATATGGGCTCTTTAAGTCTTTTGAATATGTCAAGCTGCTGTGATCAACCTATTGTAATGTTTTTCAGTGAATTTTAAATTACTGAAAGAGCTACAGTTTATTTTGTGTTTTTATAGTTATACTTTTATGTTTTAAAAGTAACTTCAAAGTAAATTAATTGGTAATCTGATTACTTTTTACATTAATTAATTAGTAATGTAATCAGATTACAATTTTTATGTAGTAATCAGTAATTTGTAATCGATAACTTTTTTAAAAGTAACTTAACAACGCTGTTTGTTAGTGTGTTTTGGGGGGGAAAGCACAGAAACAAAGACAAAAAACGTATAGTAAATAGTTTTGGATGAAACCTTTTATGTAAAAAATCTTATGATCACTTATTTTGAAGCAACAATACAACAATTTAAATGATTTAAGCAGAATTGTAAAATTGTATGGGGAACAGAAATGCTCATGTACAATTATACTAAACTAATACAGCTCTTACAATTTAAAGTAAGGTTCGAAAACGTAATAGCGTAAAATTGTGGCTTTACATTTACATCTGTGCATGTTGCATCAGATTTCATTTAGCATATTTTTACTTATTGTGTTTTTTTTTTTTTTATTCAAATTTTTGGAGCCTGAGACTTTGAGGTGCCCGTCACATGTATTTTTGATATGCATTTAAATTCAGTAGCCAATTAAAGGTATTTAGATTACTCACCACTGAACATTTTAGTTTCCAACTTAAGTTTTTCAAATAAGACAACATACATAAAATTAAGAAGATTTTAAAAAATGTCCTAATGTATATATTAAAAATAGCCTTGGAAAATGAAAAAAATAGCCACTTAATAGAAAAACTAATTTCTCTAATGGGATTTCTATGTGATTATGATGTCATCACCACAATCCTCATTAAAGATTGGTGTATTTAGGTGTCATACAATTATGTGGTGCAAATGTCATGTGACATAATGATTATGCTTGCTGGAAATCAGCATAGGAACAAATTTGCTCTATTTATCGTGTTAACTTTGAATGCAAGTTGGCTGTGCAGAACAGTAAAATATGCCCAATTTCTATCAAAGCGCTAAAGTCAGCTATATAATAAATGAATATGAAGTGTGTCTTTTGAGAAGGAACAGTATTATAAAAGATTAATGATCATTCCTTTTTGGTTTCGTAAGCATCTACAATACAATAAAAGCTTTGAGGCGGCTTGAACATTCTTGTGTACGCTGACTGCCAAACCAGAAAGAAGACATATTATAAACACATTAAGCCTTGGAAAGCTTTTTACATAAATACAAAAACATATTTTAACACCACGCCAGGTGAGTTTTAAATGAATATGCTTGACAGGCTGCAAGTCATTTATTATGCTGTTTGTAATGGCATTCCCTCTGCCCACAATGTTTTGTAATAGACATGTTAAGACACTTGTATTGACAGGACAGCATGTGGTGAATTTTACATTTTAATGGTTTCAATTTTTTTTTTTCTCCCTTGTTTTACTTCAGCTCCATCTCTGATATCTTCTGTTGAAGACAAGACAGCAGCTACTCAAGTAAGAAGCACTTCAACAAAATGACATACACATTTCACACTTCATCACAGGCAGGCTTACAAAATGTGTTTTTTTTTTCATCTTTGCCAACATTTATAAAATGTATAAATCAAGCCATTTTGTTTAATTTTTGTATTCACAAAAGGTTATTCATGCATTCATTCAATTTCATTTAGATGATTGCACTTTATTTTGCCACTTATTATGAGCATGATTACAGTGTGCTGCTAGCTTATTTGTGCATACTTGAGCATATTACAGCTGTTTTTGCTTTCCTTCACTGTCTACCCATAAGATATAGTGTGAGGCCGCCACATACACGCCCTTTGCTGAAAACTCTAGATCTTTGCAACTTAACATCATTAAGACCTTTAGATAACAATTGATAACAATTTTGGTGTTGATCTGATGACATCCCTATCAGTTCATTAAAATATGTTAAAATGACTTCTTTTGGGTTTGAGATTTTGCTCAAAGAGACTTTTTTTGTAGGTATTGGAATGTTTGATTTGTGTGCCAATTTTTATATGTGTGCAATAAAATATGATGATTTAAAAGTTCACATTTTAGTTTTAAAGACCATTAATAATTTTGCTCCTCCATATCCTATCCTCCACAAATTTTTGCATGGTTTTTCATTGCATATTATATCCAATATTTGTATGAATTGTCCACATTAAATTAACCAGTGACAGTTTCAACTTTATTATTAGAGCAATTTCTCTAAAATAGAGTAGGGTGGATCAATATATCGTTTCAGCATCGGTATCGCAATGTGTAAAAGTGCAATTGTGCAGGATCTGCAATGTTAAATTGGGATTGTAAATAACCAGAAAACAGTTTACAACAAAGTATAAACCTAAAAGAGTGAAATATATTTTTGTGCTCCAATATCATGTACAATTTCAAGCAAATTCTCGCAATTATACAATTTGTTAACAAACAATTGACAGATTAATTGTATTTAATTCATTAACCTTCTGACTGCCTGCTCTACCAAATGGTTGACCATATTTTGACTGTTTTAAATAATGACTGATTAACCATTTATATAATAGTTTACAAATCAAACAAACATAATCATGTTGCACTACTACACTTGATTTTGGTTTTATTGAAAAACAAGAGCAACAAAGAAAACATCTTAAATGAGAATCTGAAATATGTTATGGTATACTTAATTTAAAAAAAAGATGATTTAGTATTCAAAACTGATTTATTTTGAATATATTTTTAAATAAATTGGTCTTATGCTGTGTTCACACCAGACGCATAACGCAGAGATATGTTATTCGCACATAAATAGACGCATGAACATTTGAGTTTACTCGCTTCATTCGCGTGTCAAATCCGCTTCATTCAAACTTCAAATTCACTTCAGAACAGACACGGATTTGGGTCTGACCGATGACTGTAGCTTTATTGCTAAATGGCTAACATGGATTTTATTGAGAAAATAACTGTGTTTATGTGATTTTTGAAGACTGAAAAACAGCGTTGTTACGTTTGGGGCAGTGTTTGAGTCCAGTAGATCCTTTTAGAGGCGCACCAGCCCTGTGAGCTCATGAACTCCTCCAGAAACTTAACCTGGATGACAGAGGCCTTCAGTGGTGCTTCTGACTGAACCGAGCCTAGTTTGATGAACTGTTGTTGGTGTCCCGGGGAATATCCTCCAGCCGACACCGACAACAGTTCATCAAACTGTGCTCGGTTCAGTCAGAAGCACCATTGAAGGCCTTTGTCATCCAGGATAAGTTTCTGGAGGAGTTCATGAGCTCACAGGGCGCTATGTCACAATCATACCCCCACAAGAGCAAGCTCTTGATTGGTTAAAGCGGCGTGAATGTCTGCTTAAGTTCAGATTGCCGCGATCGCGTTGCAGGATGTCTATTCGCACATTTGCATTGACTTAACATGTAAATCACTCGCGCTTGATAAAAAACACAGCATTACACTTCATATTTTTTAGATTTTTCATAGTATATGTAATAAATCTGGTACTTTTACCATAAACCAACATATCTATCATTTGGTAGAGGTTGATATTTTAGGAATTTTGGGGTGTGTAAAAAAAACAAAACAAAGGCATTCAGTGTTTTAACTAGCATCATGAGTTGAGAAATGCAATCATTTTTTTTTTCTTGGTTGGCTAGTTAAAGGCATAATGAAGACTATAATGAAATATAACATTTGAGGCAAATAAAAAAGTCTTTAAAAATTGTCTTTAGACAAGAAATAGTATTGTTAAATAGGCCAACTTTGATGATTTTTAAACTTTGATCCACTTCAAATATTGACTACTGTATAAAGTGTTATTTTACATTTGATTAGATCTTTTTTGTACCTAAATGCTATTAGAAAACTATTAAGCATCATGTATTTTATTCAAATCTGTTCTATTTTTTTACTTTAATGCTTGTAATTGATTATTTTTTATGCAGATAAACTCCCCAATTATATTCATATCGCAATATAAAAATATTGCAATGCCAGTTTAATCCAATATCTTGCAGCCCTATATTAGAGTGATTTCTTTATGATTCATGGACTGAAGTAGACTGGAATAATGGCTGCTTTAAATTTACTTTGGCATCACAGGAATAAAATCAATTTTAAAATTAATTAAAACAGAATAAATGTGTTTGAAACCTAAATATTTGATGATGTGTGTGTTTTTACTGTATGTTTATCAAATACTATAGATACAGTCTTGGTGAACATGAGAGACTTCTTTCATAAACATTAACAAATCTTGCAGACCGAATGTTGAACAGCAGCGCAGTTTTTGTTGTTGTTGAATGTTCTGCGTTGACTCTAGTCATAGACGCTTCATTTCAGTTAACCACTGCCGATTTTCCCATGTTAATTTTTTTGCTTCTTTCAGCAATAAACATGCGGTCTATTCTTTGACATAATGTTGTCCCACAAAACTCCTTGCAATCGCCGTCATCTAATGAAGGCTTAGAGTGAAGCGAGTTGTTGTTGGCTTGAGATGTATCTCTGTAGTTCCAGCACATCTGGAGTGCGTAAGACCTTCTTTCAGCGGAGGATTGCACTTCTTTGATGGAGTAGAGCCCCCCACTATGAGCCACTCACTGGGGGGATAAGAGTTACATGCAGTAGCTGCTCTTTTTCCACTTCACTTCTGTCTAGAGACATCGTATGCCCACTCGGGGATCCACCTTAGGACATCCTATATGGAAAATTGCGTTTGTGGTATAGGATTATGTCAGACGTGATATTAAGGCTAAGCTGGAATGGCAGGATTTCTGTTGACACGATGAGATAAAAAAAGTATCCGTTCCTTCTACTGTTTACAGAAATTCCTCCGGCTCTAAAGATTAAAGCCGGTGCCCTTGGTTTTAAAGAATATCTTATCAGCATTAATCCATGTACACGTTTCCTAATAGAAAGTCAATAAATCGTAGTTTGCCTTAAATCCAATTTTCTTATAACTAGCATTTACAAAAGCTTAGCAGAACTTTGTGCTGGCAATAAACCCCCGTCTTACCGCATTCATCAGTTATGGTGAGCGATTCTGGCTTTGAACAGAAGTGCTCAACTTTTAACACAAGTTAAAGGGATAGTTCACGCAAAAATGAAATATTTTTTTTATTTACACAGCCTTCACTTGTTGAAAAACCTGTTTGATTTTCTTCTGTTTAAAGAAGATAATTTGGAGAAAAAAAGGTAGTTTCTGGGACTTCCATAGTATTTTTATTAGTGTTTTCCTTAAATGGAAGTTGTTGGTCCCAGCAAGTAGCATTTCCAAAATATCTTCTTTTTTCATTATTCAACAGAAGAAAGAAAGGTTTAAAACCGTGTGAGGGAGAGTTAATGTTATGTGTTAATGAGATGAGTTAATAGAGGACATTTAGCTGGCAGATATTATCTCTTTAGATTCCATTCATATGTCATATCTCAAATCCATGCATCCTCATAGAATCCGACTAGATAGTTCTGCTGTGGTTAGGTTAAAGGTGCAGTATGTATAGGATCGCATAGATGGATTTGCTCTTCAATGTTTAGGCCCTTAGTAGTGATTATTAAACCACACTGAACTGAACTTAAACACTAAATACTGAACTACACTGTGCCAATTTACTATGATCTTTTATGTGGAGCTGCTTTGACACAATCTAGATTGTAAAAGCGCTATACAAATAAAGAAGAATTGAATTGAAATATGACACCCAATGGTTGAACTAGGTATTGCACTTATGGTTCAAAACACACGCAAGTGCAGGTTGCCAGATTGACGACATCGACAGGAGCGTGCCTGACTATTAAACCTAAAGGCTGATTTAAGTAGTTTTCTAAATAAAAGCAACAGCATGCAATGTAATAATATTTTCCATATTAAAAGGAGAAATTTATATTTTAGAAATGACTTTGATATTTTTGCAGCTGAAAAACAGGATAAACTGACAATGATCACCTCATGTTTTATTCAGTGTTAAATGCTAATAATGTGATTTTGAATGACATTTTACATGACATTTATTGCCATACTACTGAAAGCAGCCGCAGATAGTTTACCTCAGGTTCTGGGGAAAAAAAAAAAACGTTTGGAATTTAACTTTAGAACTGTTACTAAGTGCAAGCCAACACATATCAGTGATTCAGCTTGTACATTTATTAATGTAAAAGAGGTTTAATATGTATTAATTAGATTATAAACCTTACCATTTAGTTGTATTGCAGTAAGTGCACTATATTCTGTGCTTCTAAATGGCTGGATATAAATATCTGTCATGTTTCATCTGGTGTGAACAGCCAAATTGCTTATGACTGTAAATCCTGTCACGTAGCATGTTGTTAGGACATGGGGTGAAAATATAACCTGCTCGCCTAATGTTTACATTCCTGATATTTACAGTTGAAGTCAGAATTATTAGCCCTCCTTTGATTTATTTATTTATTTTTTATTATTTCCCAAGTTTTGTTTAACAGAGTAAGGAATTTATCACAGCATGTCTGATAATATAATAATACCTTCT